ACAAGTGCTGGGTGACATAAGCTAGTGGTGGCTGAGAGGTAATACAATACTAGGCAGACTTGGAGAAGCCTCAAGTGCTGTAATGCCCATAGGACCTCTTTCTGCAGCCTCAGTATAGTTTAGATATTGGGACTTGTCATATACAAAATGTCCCAAAAAGATTATACACACATTCCAAGAATTAAATAAAGACATTCTAATAAACTAAACCATTACATATGTCAGCACTGACACTTAGTTAATTAGCAAATCTAGTGTAGGTCTTCAACATAACCACCGTTAGCTTCGTGGCACAGTTGACGGCGGTGAGCAACTGATTAACATGTGGCCACCAAAGATGCCGCTATGTACAATTTTTTGGGACAACCTGTATTCATTAAACACAGGCATAAGATCATTAAAAAATTACATTATGACATCTATATTGTTCTATATGATTTGGATATCTGATGCTCAGTTTTATCCTTCTTCCTGCTTCTTATATTTAGAGATGACTTGTCTCTGCACTGGAACTTTTTGGCCCTGGATATAAGTATTCAGCTTCTAATAACCAAATGAATATTACTAGTACACTTTCAAGGTCAAAATGAGAGCCATTTTCATATTATGAAATATCAACAACATTTTTATTCTGGTTACAATGTTTTGGAAGATAAACTGCATTTATTTCTTCATAAGCATTTTTTTTTTCTTAAAAGAACTGAAGAAAAACAGCAATTTTAAAGATGCTCTTTTAAATCATATTTTCTCCCCCACAGAGCAAACATTGTTTTTATACAGGAAAAATTCATTTGCAATCCTTTAATGACAAAAATTAAAACTAATTAAAGTAAAATGCTGTATGTTGTGATTATCATATTCCCTACAAGACTATTAGCATACTACCAATATAAATGTGTAAGATATCAATACTATGTTATACAATTTCTGTCTGGAAGACAAGATGTATTGAAACATGACCATTATGAGGTATCAGATAGATGTCAACAAATATTTACCTTTTACTCCAGACACCATGAACATCTAGTAATTTGAACTGTATGTCTGGTCCACAACTTACAAACATTTTTTAGGACAATATTAGTACTTGCATATTGCAGGTATGGGTAAGTATGAGGACAGCCAGATTTGAGGTTCCCACAGTAGTGAGGATGATGGTCTCCTACAGTTTGATGCCATGTATAGTCTTACTTAGCTATCAACATTTTGAAGAAACAGAGTATACAAGTACAACATTTATATGGCAACTGTCGAGGATCAAAGTTTTTAGGCTATGTCTGCTGAGTCAAACTGTTCTGTGACACTAATAAAAAGACTCTTAAAACTTTCAATGTAACATATAATCCAACAGAAGATCTAGGTGTCTTCAGTGTGTCATATCATAAATAAACTGACTGGCTGTTCATATTCATTTATCACTGCTATTTAGAGAGGCAAAAAGAAAAAATTAAGCACAAATACAAAGCTGATCCTTCCCGGTTGTGATGGTACACAAAAAATTATGTATGTTCACAATACTATCTCTAGAACAGGCATTAATGTTAAATGATACTCAGTGACTATAGCTTGAGTACACTGTTTCACTAGCCCACATACCAAGGGGATACCAGCCAGACTTTAACTACAGTTAACAGTTTAGTGGAATGCTAGTGCAACATATGGCCAGGACGTATTGTTATAAAGGCTAATATATGAAAGGATTGATAGCTCATATGATTATTTTCTTCCAGTTCACAGTTTCACTGCATGAGCCAAAAGTACAGATCTACCCGTAGAATGTAAACTGAAAATGTTTAGTATGTCTTAGAATAAAAATATGCAAGGTGCCAATCACAGCAGCCACAGTATAGTGTGCACTGGCCTGAACTGGTCAAACACTGAAATCACCTACAAAATTTGAGGTTCTCACAGCAGCGAAGATGATGATGTTCTGGGCCGTGACACCATATAGACTCGCAGGTAGATACAAACATTTCAGAAAAAACATAATGTCTCCACATTCAGGGCTGAAGATGGAGAAAGTATGTTTGTCTGAAGTGTTGAGATCTGTTTGTGAGTGAGTGTACATGGTGTCATAACCCAGAGGAACTTCATCACTGGAATTGCCTGTTAAAGATATTCGGGTGCCCAGATGTATGTCCATATTTCTGTGTTACAGCGCATGAAAATGTCTAAGAGATTAATAGTTTTGGAATTAGCATTTTAAAAATGCTATTTAAATTACAATTATATCTGTACACCCACAAATTAAAAGACCAGAAAATATCTGACTGTGTAGGTTTGCACAGAATTGGAACTGGACATGATGCCTAATGCAGAAAAGAAGGAAAAGTATGCATGGTGTTTGGATAAATACAATATTATTTTTTGACTGAAGAACATGTTTTTAACAATCTTTATCACCTCACAACTTACTTCATCAGTCTTCCAACAGAGGTCCTCTGTCCTACTTAAGCATCTTGTTACCACACTACATCTACTTAATTTTACTTTTATAATACTGGAGTTACCCACAGCAGAGATGAGCAAGTACTCCATGTGAGGTATATTAAAACATTTTTTGTGAAGGCTAAAGCAGTGAAAATGTCACATTAATCCAAGATATAAATTTGGAACTGCATGGAGCATGTGAGGACATTTATAACACTGCTAACATTTTCAGACCAGTCAAGGTAATGCCCTTTACATGCTATATTCTAGTATGTTACAAGTAGCATGGAGCATTTAACTATATTATACAATACTGTAAAGCAACAAACTCTTGAGATCATTCTATTTTCATGACTTCTTTTGTCTCAAAAATTGAGAGGATGTTCACAGTCATGTCTCTACTATTCTTTTACTTTGTGTTCTCTATAATAAGGATGTTCACAGTCATGTCTCTATTATTCTTTTACTTTGTGTTCTCTATAATTTTTCTTTATTCAATAAACATTTTAAAAGAATACTGGATTAAGTCTGTCAGAATAAAGCCATCATCCAATTTCATCAGTCACATAAATAGTTTACATTAAACATTTTGAGTTTAACATTTGCAGAATGTAGAAACATAGTTAATAATGGCTTGCAATAACAGTACATAAATAAGACTCATATTTACCAAATGCCATAGGCCACTTCTGCTATTTTGAAAGGGGGTAAAATCTTCACCTGACTTGACTTTTGTTCTTTTCAAAATATGAAAGTTATTTCATAGACAAACTCAAAGTACTTCAATATATAATAGTTTTGAAATTTATTTATACCTGTGGCAAATATTTAAATTTGATATGCATTTATTACAAAAATTTTATGATAAATATGTAACACATAAAATAGAAAAGGCTTAAGCTAGATGTTCAATTAGCTTCATTTTATGTCTACATGTGTGAGTTCCTCTTTATTTAACTTTCAACATTTAAGTCATCTTTGCCAAATTCCAACCCTTATAACCTTAGCTTGCTATTGCTTACCTCTGATTTACAGACTGAGAAAACAAGAAAAACTATTGTTAATATTTACACTAATTTAAAATATGTTAATATTGGTATCAGTTTTTCTTTCACACACACACATATCAACAGTGACTATATTTATATTAATTTGCTTTACAGAGCGATGACAATAAATTTCCAGGAAAGGAACCACCCTTAATCTCTACCATATTTGAACACGAGATACAAAACCTTGTATTACAGGGCTGCTGGCTAGACTTTAGATCAGGGTTAATAGTTTAGTGATATGCTAGTGCAACGCTTGACCAGCTGACTGCACATAACCTGTGTGTTAAACATGGAAACTATTTCGTAATGTGAAGTATTATGTTTCCTTGTATATAATGTTTAGATTAATCAGTTGCCATTTAAAGCAGAAAATATATAATTTTTAGTAACAAGAACAGGTGTGTACAAAATTACTGTAATAAATATGAAAATAAGGTTATGTGAAGGATAGTTTTGAAGAGTTTACTTTTGTCTTATTTCTTCCAGTTTGGCACTTGCACACAAACTACGAATTTCTACATTGCCTACTAAACTGACAAAGAGGTCACACATGTGGCTCATGTTTTGGAATCATGGCCAGCAAAGATACTATCCCGACTGAGGATTTCTTATTTCATTCAACATTACATGAAATGAGCAATCAAAACTGGATCTATCAATCAATAAGTCAGTACAGCAATTAATCAAACAACCTCCTTTGTTACTGACAAAATCAATGCCTGTCTTAATCTTCCCCACCTTTTTACGCCCATTTTTAAAATAAGGACACATAGTTACAAAAGCAATATAATTCTACTAATAAGGGCACTCAGTTATTATATCTATAGCCTGGTAACAGGCTAAGGAAAAAAAAAACACCCTGCCTTTGGGGTACCTATAATGTGAGGGACCCTTCAAATAATGTCTTCTGCCTATACCTGAATCATTACCATCAACCTATAAAGATTTTGCGTGATTTAATTTTTCCCTGGAAGCCCAAATATAAAATTATTTGGCAAAAATGGATACAATGTGTGTACATAAACAGTAAATTGTCACATTGTCACCATCATAATCTGCCTTCCATTACAGGCACAGTGGCCTGTTACAGTCTCATGCCAGTGTTTGTATGGTTTTCCTAAAGATCCTAGTCTATCCAGCTGGCAATGGAGAAATTTGAAATGGGGCATTCAAAGAAATCTTTTCCAGTCAGCTCCATAATTTCCTACGAGTTCTGTGACTGGCTGCGTGTTTTATTATTTCATTATGCCTAAATTTACTATATTCATTTTCTACATACAAGAGTTTTAATAAGTCCCTGGTGAACTTCTATAGCATTAAATACTAAAAGTTGTGAAACTTGATCTCTGACATAAAGTGAGGAGCAGAGATTGAGGGTATTTGAAGACAGGGTGCTGAGTAAAATATCTGGACCTAAGAGGAATGTGGTGGGAAGCTGGAGATAATCTTAATTTGTACTCTTCACTACATATTATTAGTATAATCAAATAAAGGAAAATAAGATGGGTGAGGCATACAGCAAATGGTGGGAGATGAGAAATATGTACAAAGTTTTGGATGGATAACATGAAGAAAAGAGACCACTCAGAAAACAGGTGTAGATTGGATTCATGTGGTTCAGACCAAGGACTGGTGGCATGCTCTTGCAAACACTGTAATGAACTTTTGGGTTGCATAACAGGCGTGGAATTTCTTGACTAGCTGCACAACTATTAGCTTCTTAAAAAGAATTCTGCATCATGAAGTCAGTTTACAGATATAAAAATAATATATAAAGCAATAAGACATTTTCTATATTTACTGCAAGAATGAATGGCTACTGAATACATATTTTTACTATCTTTACGGTTATACCATGTTATCAATTTGTAAAATGGTGTAACCATATAGACAGATAGCAAATTTGTTTAATATAATGTTACCACAAAAGCCTAAAAGAAAAGTTGAATAGCTACTATTATCTTATGATTTAAGGTTCACTAGTGAGTGTTCTGGTAATGCAAAGTTCATACATAAATAAATGAGTTGTACAGTATACCTAATGTAAGTTCATTACACTTCAACAAATAAATACTGGAGAAACCCAATATGAAAATAATAACAATTATAAATACTGAAATGGATAAATGGAAGAAATTGAATTTAAAAAATTTAAAGGCATTAATAAGGAAGTCAGTATGGCTAGATGTATAATATTCGAAGAAAGTGAAGGGTCAAAACATGTCACACTATGTCAAAATAAATTAACATTTTAAGAAAAGCATGAAAATGTGATTTACAGAAGTAGAAGCCATGATCAATAAGAGGAAATTAATAACAGCATATAATAAATAAAAATGAACAAGTGAATGGTGACTTTTATAATTTCTCATTGCTCACTAGTTAATTAATTCATTCATTCATTCACTACTTCCTATAAGAAAGTAAAAGTTTACATAAAAAATGGAAACATACAATGTTTTTAAAAACCTGAATACACAATACCTACCATGCAGAACATAATAAATGAAACAAAAAATAAAATGTAGAATTGACAAAAATCAGACCTTCAATGCATTATGTTTTATATAGGCTTATAAACTATTATACAAGTTGCTTGTTTATATATTAGAATAACAAGTCACACAGTAAAATTAAAATCATTAAATACATTTTTCTTAGAGTGCTAGAATTTACAGCTACTTTATTATCTCCGCATAGAGTTACTTTCACTTCTAATATAGTATATTTTATCACCAGAAAAACATGCATAAAAATTCAAAGCAAAAATAATACAGAAAAATTCTATGTTTGATGAATCTATACTGAAAGAAAGCACTTCCATCAAAAGAAATTTTTCACCCTAATATGAAGAAAGAGGGGAGAAGGGGCTATGCCAATTCTTGCAATAAGAATGAAAGATGTCCTGGTGGAGACTGGATTATGGAATCTGATGAAATTGTAGATCAAAGATCTAATTTAAAGTGCAAGAAATAGTTCTATTAATATAAGTATTATTAATTATAGATAGATATCAACATTTCAGATCAACACATTTCCTCCATCTTCAAAGCTGAGGATGGAAGCATCACGTTCCACCAAAACTCTGGTATCCACCCACAAGTCAGCATGGCACCACAACCAGAAGACAAATATCAACATTTTCACTGCCATGAAAACCTCAATTCTGACATCAATTAGCTGCTTTTACAACCCAAATGATATTCTACTTATATGATTATCATAAATGAAACATTAATAGCCATGTGGTTTATGTCACTCCTATCAATGTTTGAACAACACAAGATTTTCAGTCAGATCAAAAAGATACCTGTAGTGTGAAAGAAAAATAGATCTGACATTGAATTTGATTGATTTATTTACATTAAATCATGTCTCTATCACACACACACCAAAACACTTTTTCCAGACTGGGGTTGATAAATTCTGTGAATCAGGTCCCAGGATTCCTTGGCTACGTTTAAGCTGTGTACTGAACTAGACCATGACAGAACACCAAATTTTGGGATATTACAGCAATGACTGAAATTAAATTTGTTTTACATTATCCTGCAAAATGTTCATTGTCAAACAATGAAGCCTAGATTTTTAAATGTCAATATAAAAATGATAAATGTAAATATATTCCATCAAATAACCTTACAAGATTAGGTTATTATCTATATGATGGGCTCAGAACCCAACTGTGTAAATATAAATCCAAGATGCTTACCACCTCCTAGTAAGGCATATACAGTATGTAAGTAACAGAAGCATCATTTAAGTGGCACAACTATTATTCAGTTGTCACATGTTCATGTGGAAATTCATTTCCTGAAACAAATTTCTACAGTAGGAATGGATTCTTTCATTCCTGCAATAACCACTCATTTGTGCGCAGGTAACAATGCAAACAGTCTATGATTATACACAGGAAATGTATTTACCAGCAGGAGCAATGGACATCAAAGCAACACAAACACCAAATACATACTGCACCTCTGTGTTGGTTAGTACCTTTGTATATTTACCCTATGATCATGCAATTTGTACAGAAGTGCTATTCTACTACTTTGGATGCTAGTGGTCTGACTACTCCTAGTGACATGTTTTATAAGGGCTACCAATCAGTCCCCCTTATTTTGGGTCCCTGTAGTCTATGACAGCTTCTGCATAACTTTCCTAAGATTAAATGTTTTTCCCATATATTTTTTGATGCAACAGCATATTTAGCAGATGTAAAGCATAAAAGATAAGTGGACATTTTGACTATTGTTTGTACATAATTAATATGTAATTCTGCATGGAAAGAAGGAACTTCAATGCCACTGTTTTCCTTACATAGTCAACCCTCAACAGTGTAAAGGTTCTATACAGAGCTCTTCACTTTTTCTGACAGTAGGCTTGGATTTTAGACTTGATCCATCCTAATTCTTTCTTATCAGAATGTTCTGAATATCCCGTTCCCAGGTTTATCAGGATCCTATTAAGTTTTCGTTGCTGTCTTGCTTGCAATATTTTCAAGAGTGTCCTTCCATTTTCAGTCCCATATACATCTCAAATGTTTCATTGATTGATCTTTTATCACTTCATTTAGTGGTTTAACATTTAAAATCATTTATTCCTTTGCATAAAAACAAGCACTTTCTGCGAGGTTTATGGAGATCACAACAGTTGCTAAGTCAAACTGGAATTTGAATTATGTTTATCAAAATTAAAAATCTGTAACAGCAAAGGAGTCATTAAAACTCTGTTAGCACAACAGGAAACATTACCTGAAAAGGACTGTCTAGCCACACTGCTGATAGCTTGCTGAATTTGGTTATTGCAAGGGAGATTCAACAGAACCTGCCCAAGCCTGATTAGTGAACATCTATATGGCCTAGTCATACAGTCACCATAAGTAATACAACATGTATCACATTGGGTCACCAAACACTGGATGCCTGTCCCACAGAATTCCACATTCTGCTGATAAAAACCAATCAAACACAGATTGCTATATTTCAGTATCTGACTAAAATTAGCATTACTGGAGTACTTTCTTACTGGGTTAAGCTACCTATAGATAGAGTAATTTCTTCAAATTCCTGAATATACCAAGCATGTTCCAGCACAGTTTATACAACATAACCTCAATCTCAAACTGATTAATACTATGTCATTACTTGATTTCATTTTTATAAGGAAATTAACCATCTAACACACTCTGTTTATTAGTTTCACAGCAAGTTTTGGTTACTACAAAATCAACATCAGATGGATGTAAATATACTAACAAGGAAGCAATTCTAATAAAGAACAGTTTAGCACATGACAGATGGTTAATTTCACTACTTATATTAAATAATGTGCATAAAGGTGCACAAAATGTGTTTTAGAATGATGACAAAATTGTCAATAGTAATGATTCACAACACATCACACTTATAACACAAATCTCTCAAGAGCAGCAATTCCCAATTATTGGACCACAATGGTCTACATTACATTTTATTGAACAATAACTATGCTTTAATCACACTTTTGTTACTTATAAATAACTATTAAATCAAATAAACACTAAAACAGCAATTAATTAGATACTGATAATACTATTCAATTTTGACATAATTTTCAAGAACTATTTGTAAATTTAACCTTTTCCACTCCAGGTATGGGATATGACACCTTCATTCGGCAGAATACTTTCCCCTTAGAGAGTGAAAAATCGCTATAAGTTTCCTTTAAATATGAGTTCCAAGACACACATTTTCAAAATCCATTCTTCATGATTCTGCATCTTGAGTTACTGGTTTTCATGTTCATTTAATGTAGTCACAAACCTAGTGTTACACCTATGTCATATTACAGATACACTAAAGTGCATAGTGTTGCACAATAAATTATTTTTCCTTATGTTTAACGAAATATACACAAAAATTAAAAAAAAAAAGTTGTGCATCTTAATGACCTTAATGAGATATGTTTTCTATTTTATGTTATGTACCAATTTGTTGTATGTCAAACCATTTTAAAAAATTATGTTTGATTTTAACTTCATGTAAAGTAGTGGATATCCTGAACTGATAGGCTAAAACCAGACTGCTTGACAATGCAGTCTTAACTATAATGTTGCAGTGACTCAAGATGTAGTTCTGCGTCAACCAAATATACAAGCATCAACACAGAGGATGGTTCTGTGAGGATCAAACTGCATCTGTTTGTAGATCAAGTAAACAATGTAGAAACTTTCACGGCAAACTGAATTAATAAAATCCTCTTGGGCTATCAACTGTGTCAAATGATTAAATGGCCAACATTCCAGGGACCATTCTGTCCCCATCATCAGGGTGTCTGATGTCAGATGATGATGGGGACAGACATGGTCCCTGATACATTGGAAAGTTTTAATCATATGACAAGACTGACAACCTGAGAGAATTTTATTAGTGTAAAAAGGCAGGTGGTTTATGTAACTGTGAATTCAGTGTTGATCTCCAATACCAAATTTAATTGAAATCTGTTCATTAATTTTAGAGATGAAACATGGTGATGAATAGATACAACCTAACCAACTGAGTGATCATTTCATAACATTTATGCAAAAAATAAAATTTAAACTTTAGTGGTGTACGAAAGTTTGTATGCTTCAATTTTTAGCATGAGACAAAACAACAGCACAGAAAACTAGTATGCCAAATATATATCAAAATCATCTTAATGTTTCTCTGAAGTTCCCACTTTAAGTGGGTCATACAACAATCAGGTCTCCCCATCTACCTTTACCTTCCCACAGCTCCTCCCCACCACCTCACATTATTCCCACAGCCTTCTTTCTATAGAAAATGGATGACGCCTCATTTCATGACAACATTCTTGTCTTAATATGTTATAAGTCCATAATTTTCCATAATCCAGTGTTTTAAAACAGATTTCACAGTCCTAAACTTCAGTATTTGACTTTCTTAGTGAAGATACCAAAATGCTGAACAAAGAACAAGATATAGCAATTCCATCACTGCAGCCAGTTTTCCTGTTCCAAAGAATTCACATATAAATGTTTTCGTTTTTTATTGTTATAGTGGAACTTCAGCCGTCTGTCCCCCAAATTAAACAAATCCCATATGGACTGCCCTGGAATGAAGTTATGATGGTTTAACCATTACATCTGGTGCAGAAGAAATGGTACTACAAAGAATTAGGTTGTGTTAAGTTAGGTTACTTTTAGTTTAAATTTAAATCTGAACTGTCTGATGTGCTGGAAGTCACCAATTCTGTAAAACCACTCAATCTGTCAATTCCATCTTTCAATAATCACAAAATCTGGAAAGAATAAGTCAAGACAGATAACTCAGAATGCATGTTGTCCTGCCTGACAAGAGTGTTAAAAATATTAATGCAATTAATTGCTCTAAATGATTTTATAACTGTTCCATGGTATAAAAAACCTGGGAATGGCTGCCCTAAAATGCAGTGAAAGGGTTGAATGCAGTTTCTGCTCAAATGAATGTCTACTGATAAGTATCACATAGCAGGCAATACAAAGCTCCACAATTTTATTACTACTCAAACTACAAATTACCATTATATTAATAATACAATTAATATGAATACTATAGATAATAATCAGTCATGTCATAATACAAGAATATGGCCGAGAGAAAATAATACAAGAGGTAAGTATGTACCTTGCTACTCCAGGACTCATTCTTTGGTTAAAAGTAACTTAAAAAAGGCTTGTTGTGTGATCAGTGAGGTTCATTCTTTGGTTGACCTGTCACATAATACAGAATAATTAATGGCACTTGATTCACCTCTAGGCTATTAGTGGAAGGTTGCTTGTTACCCTGAGTCTTAGGACTGTGTGTGGCTCTGTTCTTTATGAAATTGGTTCATCTAACTTAGATTCTCCCCTATGACGATTTTTAACACAACAAAATTCTCAAAGTATAATTTGAATAAGTGTATAATAACAGTTCAAAGAAGATACAAATTTCCAGTCTCTGACAGGATGTAAGGGGCAAGGTGTAGCTCTTAATATGTCTCCTACCTTCAAGTGTAAAAACTGTAACATAAGCTTTACTTCACTATGAAAGTTATGATTTCCCTCACTTACAAGTCATTTTTGTGCTTTAAAATACTATCCCATTACAAGAGTCCTAAACAAATAATTTCCATCTCAACTGTAAAACGGTCTCTAATGATGAAATGATTTTAAACCTTATATGGGGCATGTTAATTGTTAATAAAGGATCTCTGTGAAACTACCTTTTTCTAGTAAACAAATGTCTAAGGAGCAACCGTCTTAAGAAGTTATGTTAGCTTGCATCATTTGGGGTATTTGAACTGTACTGACCAGTTCACTGTGTGGACTGTTTCTTATTGATGTCTTCCAGCTTGTAATGCATCATCAAGAACTGATTATAGCCTGAATTTTTCTGCTGTGTGCTCGCAGTACGACCTCGACGTCGCTGGGGAAGAATACCTCGCCTTGCCATGTAGAACCGGATTGTTGATATTGGTATGTTGAAGATGTCAGACACATTTTGGAAAGTCATGCCCTTCTGGACACATTCTGCTGCTTTTGTCAATTCTGCTTCTGACCTGCGGATTCTGGTGGGAGCAGCGTTGCCATCTTTCCATGAAGATATGGGCACCTTACCCTTGTCAGAGGGTGACAGTACACACACAACATTTTGTAGAGCCATTGCAGCATTCATATCTGAAATAGAATCACAGTACTCAGATTGATAAATGTCTTTCAATTAAAAATTATGAAATATTCAGTTTGCATTACACACTTTCGTTAAAATATCATGCAACAGAGCTTCAAAAACAACATTTGTGGATTAGGAGTCATTATGCATGGAACTGATCCTGTAAATATGAAAACAAATAGATGCACATCAATCTATGTATATAGAAAATACACTATCTTGTTTCTAATACAATAAAGTGTGTCCTTACACCATGTTTGCACCTCCGCAGCTTTGGCACATCTAGCATGACCACAAAGTATCTTGGGGGAGATTGGGAGAATCTAATACTTGGGGATGGACCTGCTTCTGCTTTCATTTTTTCTACCACAATATGTGATTGTTGCTGGGTTGCATTTTAAATGGTACCTTCTGTAAAATGGATAATTAATTACATGCATACTTGTAAGTCAGTTAATATTTCTTATAGCATTCTCTTTGCATATAAAGCAATCCTGCCAAAATGCTATTCAGATTAATTTTATTTTCAAAGTAAATTAAATGAATTCTGCTGAGTCTATCATGATTTCAATCTACCAGACTACATGATTCAATAACCCAGAGGATAGCAGTCTTCAGACTCACCACTGTGAAAACCTCAAATCCTACATGACTTGGGGCTCTTCAAGCACACGATAAATTTTACAAGTGCAAGTTTTATAGAATTTATAAAGAACTTTTAATTTAGTTAGGACAGAAACACTGTGCAATATTTTAAATGAATTCAAAATATTCAATATATCCCTTAGATTACCTGGACTATCTATGCCAGATGTGTCTAAGAGAGCTTGTATATGTAATAATTTATCTAATTCATTTTCATTTCATAGGCCTAAGTGAAGTATTTGTTTATGCTGATGGTCTAACTTGATGGAGGAGAAGATAAATATCACAATACTTCAAAACATTTCCTACAGACAACAAAGCAAATAGTCTAAATATAAATGTAGATGTTAGGGACACAGGCTGAGGATGGAAGTTGGATGTAACCTACTTATAGATGTCACCAAATATCTTGCAAGCTGTCAGCATGGGGGCAGTGGTGAACAGGGGAATGTGCTGCACCTCAAATCTTTACCTGACTGTATTTAATCCAGTGTGGCCAGGGAACCGCTTGCAAGACATCTGGTCACATCTTCAGAATCACATCCAATGACAGACTTTGGTATTAATGGTGTTGAATCTGTGGGTTCTACCAAGTTTTTGAAAATAATTTTCACACGCACTTATCTTGTTGCAAGGATGGAAGTCAACAGAAAGCTAGAAGTATTAATTTATGGCAGACTACACATGAGTAGAAGAGGCTTAGTCACACCAAAATATCTTACACCAGTTGGTTGGTTTAATCTGCATTTAATGACACTTTTAAAATATAATGGTTATGTGGTGTCAAAAGAAAAATTAGGATTAGGGAAGCCTGAAGGGTGTGCCAAAGTAGTCATAGTCTACTTTTAAGGCACTGATCAGCAAATTCCAAGCCAAAATAGTCACTTTCCCAGCAATGATGCTAACCACTACATAAGGGTGGAAATATATATAAAACAAATTTAGAACAGACTGAATATCATTTATTTCATACACTGAGTTTGCTACAGGCAGATCACATATGTAAAGACATGTTAAACAAACTGCAAGGAAAATTTTCTTTCCCTTATAAATACTTTCTAGAAATTATTGTGGAATGTTTTTTATTTTGCAATCCAGTAGATGTATTCTACTCATTACAAAATAACTTTAACAATAGGGTTAAGGCATTACTTTAAATAATACAGAACACATCACAGTATATTTCAGAATCTGTCTTCTACATAGATTAAACAATTATTTCTGCTCCTCTAATAGTGCTTACAGAAAGTAACACACCACCAGAATGCAGTCCACTAAGAATCCATCATGTGCCACAAAAAATGACAAACATCTGATTACAGTGTGGACCCCCAGGACAATGCCAAAGTACTTTATACATTTACACATATTTGTTAGTCCCAAATCATCAACTTTCACATAACAATGAAAAGAACAAATTGGTAATTTGTATACACTGACAACTGTCTTAAAATGCCTTCATGACACAGTTAAGGCTGGTGATATATAAGTGTACACATACATTTTCTTCATTTATAAAATATTTACATTGTTAAAACCATAACACAAACACAACTAATTAAATACCACAAAAGCCACAACTAGTCTTGTTTGCAATGGATATTCTCCATAGCTGTCCAGGAACTGAACATAGCAAATTAATTATGTAACCAATGCATGTTATTAAAGTTTCCTATTGAACAACATACAATGAACATATCCTGTGTCCATCAATTTTAGTACAGAATAGATACATTATTTACTCTTATACATTGAAATCTCTACTTCATCTTCCAATTTACTTCACAAGATTTTCTATGAATAATAAGTGCATACACACAACACAAAAAAAGACTAAACAATCAACAGCAGGTGAAAGTAAAAGGTAAAATTCTCCCTGGCATTTATTAAGCATCATGCCGTGAAGAAATAGGGGGAGTGGAGGTATAACTCCTCTCATTTTCGACCTTCATACTATAGAGGTGAGTGGTCAGCTTCTTGCTGCATCTCC